GCTTTTAATGTTATGTTTTCGTGCTGCGCCCTGAAATAAATGGCAACATAAAAAATTGTAATATTACAGTCCATTTATCACAAATCAACATTATTTTTATTTTATTCGAGTTTATTGCTTGATCTGAGCATATTGTCCTTATTAGGATTATTATTAAATTGTCAAATAAAGCTAGTTGGACATTTTTATAAAATTGGATATAAAAACTAATAAAATATACATATAGAAAGTAAAAAGAAATTCGTGTAGCTATATAGTACATCTAGAGCATACTAAGTTTGACGCTAATTTGTGTAGTTTCAGAACAAAAAGTTTTCAAATTTAATTTGACTTTATTTGGTGCGCTTACCTTAAAAAGGATTTTTCTTCTGGAGGAAATAATAAAAGAGATAAAAGTTTATTTTTAGTATAGTTGCCAATGATTTTACAATACTTCGGATCATGGTAGAATATATTGACCTAGTTTTAGATGGAAAAAATATCTACTGTTTAAATCTTTTTAGCAAAGTAACAGGTGTTTAAATAAGCAGGCAGGTTTAACAAAAAATTACCTCGGATCGGCGCCGATGCCCGTTTAGAAAGGCAGCTGAAAGATGATATATGTCGATGGAAACAGCTAATTCTCGTGGGACGTGGAGTTGATCAAACAGAGTGTTTATCGAACCCTCCGGTAATCTCGGGCGTTGGGACTGGGATGAAATATCGAGTTATTTTCCTTTGGTGCCCTCCTGCTTATGACAGCCTCTCTCCACGATTTTTCCACGACGCCACGTCGTTTCGGAAGAGATTACGCCTCTTTATTCCCGTCTCTCTAAGCCTTCCCTTCCGTAACAAATAATCGTCAATCCAGTCGTCGCTTAAACCTAAAAAAAAGTACAGGACAATTTTATCCTCTTTGAATAATCTGTTTGAAATGACAAAGAAAATTTTTTAGATCTCATCCAGACCTTTTGAAAGGGTTGGCTCAAAAATTGATCAGGGATGTGATGGATTGGTCTATCCCCTAAAGTCGATAATATTTTCTCTGTTTGATTATGAACTGTCAACACAATTCAACAGAAAATTTGTAATACCATTATTCTAAAAAGAAAAGTACCTGTATTCTTAACTTAGATAAAACGATAAACACTTCTAAAAATAACAGATAAATAATTTATGAATAAACTATTGAATAGACTAATTTATTTGACCGAAACAAATATCTGCTATAATCCTTACCTATCTGATTTTGTTTTTCCAGCAACTACAATTCTACGTAATATTTATCAATTTAACGTGAAAAATTAATTTAAAAAACAATCATTCTTGTGCAATGATTACAAGGAAGAGCTTGATAGTAATTATACAGCGCAATCTGTAAGGAAGTAATCTTATTTTTATTTTGAATTGTTATTACTTTATCTCTTCAAAATCGAAGAAGAAGGAAATTGATAACGTAATTTTATAGAGAAAAGATCAAAAAAGCTCGTCCAGAAAGCATGAAATGCAAAATTATTATGCTGATCTCCCGGAATCGCACATCGCCCGGCTCCGCTCAAGCGCAAACAGGACGCCCTCGGATCCATGCAAAATCAATGTCAGCTCCTTTCTTTGACATTTCAGCTTCTACTACTCGCGCGATATCGGATCGCATCGCGGGCAGTGCAAACAAGTCGCACGCTGATCCTTGCAAAATCAATTATAACTCCTTTCTGTGACATTTCAGCTTCTATTCGCGCGATATTGCATTGCATCGCGGGCAATACAAACATGTCGCACGCTGAACCATACAAAACCAATGACAATTCCTTTCTTTAAGATTTCAGCTCCTATTCGCGCGATATCGCATCGCGTCGCGGGGAGTGCAAACAGGTCGCGCGCTGAACCATGCAAAACCAATGACAACTCCTTTCTGTGACATTTCAGCTCCTATTCGCGCGATATCGCATCGCACCGCGGGCAGTGCAAACAAGTCGCACGCTGATCAATGACAGACAGCTCTTGTTATTGCGATTTCGACTTCTACCCGCGCTATATCACATCGCACCGTATCCCAGGCCATGTAAATAGCCCCTAAGAGAATAAAAATCGTTATGAAATGAATTTGTGACGTGATTTCGACATATGTTGTGATTTCTGAAATCTCGTTAACCTTTAACTACTAATTACGTTCAGCTATAGTTGAGTTCCTTCCTCGTAGCTCTTATTTTATTTTACAGTGTTTCTTTCTATTAGGGTAGTCTCGTAGTTAATTCTAATACATTATTTGTCCTCTCTTACACCTAGTAAAATTCTATAACTAGTAGAGATATTTCGAAAATAACTTCCGAAAGCGAATCTGGCAAATGTACGAATTGATCTTCCCTGTACAAGTAACTCTAATCTCTCAATTTTATTATCTGTTATCTTTCGATTGCACTGTAAACCAGAACTAAACACTAACTGAAAATAAACAAATCAAAATCAAAACCAAAACCATAATCGTTGCGGCCACCAATGCCATCTTTGAGCATGTATGAGCGTGTATGAGTGTGTACTGTTATAACATCAATGAACGGCGAGTATCAAAAATATTTGCCTTTCCATAGTATCAACAAAGTGAATGTTACGTCAAGTTTTCTACTTTCAGTCCACTCTTTAATGAATTTATCTGTAGTTTATATAAATGACCGAAAATACTCTTAAGCAGGCTATCTCCTTGAAATAGTCTCCTGAGAAAGCTAAATTATTAAAGCTTCCAAATGTAAATTTCCTTGTTTGATAGACGTTATCTAGATTCTTCTAATTTCTTTGTCGTGATTCAAGCATTTTCATGCTCGTTAACCATTGTTAGTCATGAGGCGGCTAGCCGGAGTTAAAAACCACAGAGAACAGTCAAAGTATAACCAGAACGTTCCGAAAACATCGACACCCGGATGAATGGAACATACATATTTGGTACAAAACGGGACAACAATGGATTTGTACCCAGTCGACAATAGGCAAACGGAAAAGACGAGAGGGCCCCTCGCCCGCGATGACAATATATTATAGGTAAATATATACATTTGAATAGGGCGGCGACAGGGGAATTACAATAAAAATGGAAAGTCTGTGCGAAGTAGGAGGAGGACGAGGGAACCGTGACGGAATGGACAATGAAGGCGAGCACTGGAGCAAATGAGCCTTGAACAATCCCCACATGACGGTACCACCGGGCTCAAAATCGGCACTCGGCCCATCGGGTCACGTTGCTTCGGCTCCATTTGACAGTTAGGAGGCGATTACAAGGCGCCGTTCGCCCTTTATGCTTTTTAATTTCCTCCGAGCTTCATTTTAATCCGCCCGTATCGGTCTGGTCGAAAGGGGGCGGACCGCTTCAGGCTGAATTATCGGGTATAATTTTCGAATAGCTGTACCCAAAGGAACATGGAGCATGTTTTAGAAAATACAAAGGAATTAATTTCCAAATTTTGCCTTAAAACGGAAATCCTCGGCTTTTCTCGTTTCAATAATCATTCTTACCTAGTTGTTCTTCAATTCTAAAACCAGTAATCGATTATTTAAAAATAAATTTTCACTAGGTATATTGAACCTAGTAACGTAACAAATAATTTCATCTTTACGTTGGCATCTTGCTTTAAAGTCGTTTCTAAAAATGTGACTGTCACAATATTAAATAAACATCAATTTAACAAAAAGACCCACACCTACCAGTGAAAATGGCGAAAAGCTGAACATTGTCTCACCTACAAACCCATTGATACAAAGCGAACCAAGATGATAAGAACGTATTATAAAAAGAATAAATATTTAAAATACGTCAGAATATTATAAATAAACATCAATATAACATATAGACCCATACGTGAAACAAGTGAATATGGCAAACTGCTGAAAATCGTCTCACAACAAAACACCGGCAATAGTAAGCTAACTGGGGTGATCAGAGACATATAAAAAGAATAAAAACTTCAAATTCATCAACTAAGAAAAAATATCATCTTCTGAATTATATTAGAAACTACTGACACAGTCTTCAACGACACGAAGTATCATGAACTACATACTTTATTTGTATTATTTCGTTGAAATCTTGTTTTAATGTCTTCTGAACTTTTAATCAACATACCATATATAAAACACACCAGTGAATATAGCAAAAAGCTGAAAATCATCTCACAAGCAAAAACCAGCGATGCTAAGTGAAGCAGGGTAATGAAGTATTATAAAAAGGATAACTATTAAAAATTAATAAACTAATAAACATATATCAGAAAATATTTTAAACAATAGAAACGCTGTACATAGACGTCTAAGGACACGAAGCACCACGACTTTACCATTAATTTTTTCTTCTATTTGCCTTAAATGTTCTCTAAGATGGTTCTAAAAACTTTCAATGACAAATTAATATATTATAAAGACCCGTACATAAAACCTACCAGTGAATATAGCAAATAGCGGAAAATTGTCTCACAAAACAGCAGCGTTACTAAGAAAATCAGGATGATAAGAGAGGTAGTATAAAAAGGGTAAACGTTTGAAATTCATAATTTTATGTTAAAAAAATGAATTATCTCAGGTTTCACTATTTAATGAAATTTTTCCAAACAAAAAAACTGGCTGGGAAAACTCCATAATACAGGGAAACCTGAGATAATTGAAAATTCAACACCAGCAACTAAACATTATCAACATTTTTTTAGGAGGGTTCTCAACAGCAGAGTTCATATCAACCCTCTGGGTGCCTGTGTTTTATCAGCGGTTTAAAAAACTATCAAATAAATCTTTTGAAAATTTTAGTCTTCCAACGACAGGAATAATTGTGGATTTTACTGGTTTATTATTTTTAAATTATTTTATTTTCTTTAAATCTTGTTTTAATTGAAAATACATTAATAAAAAACAAATACAAACCAAACAGTTAAAATTGTAGAAAAATTGCAAAATTCGTTCCATTATCCAAAAAGTTACCTGTAAAAACATTTTATGTAGTGTTCACCACTCTCGTTTAAATTATTGTAAAATTTACATTACTAATTAATTTTTTGTTTTTATTTCAGGGTTTTTAGCTTTAGCTGATAAAACTCCGGAATTGATAGTTCATCCATCAGATCCAATAGTGAAAATGGCGATATCGAAACAGGTGTTTGTGACCTGCAACCCTTCAGATCCAAATTTAGTGACCAACCTGATGTGGCTGGACGTACGCAATAATGAAGTCAAAAAAGAAGGGTGAGTATATATTTTCTTTAATATTTTTTATAATTTCCATAATTGAAGCATAAAAATTCAAATTTCCATCTTCACAACAAACAAAGAGGGAGGAAATGACGATTAATCTTAATAATATTCACCCTCGTAATGTAAGCTGTTGGTATGTGTCTCTTCTAGTTCCACAGTATTTACCCTCATGGCCTTCTCACCCGGAGGTCATTTCCATCTGGCCGGTAAATCATAGTCCATGATTCACGCTTGTTTCTTACAACTTCCCCACCATCACTTGGTTACTGTCACAAACCGATGCACACCCGATAAATATCCCGCTGGTCTTTGTAAATTTACAGTTCTGCTCTGGTTCTAGGGTGTGAAACGATTCTTTTCGTTATGTTCCCTCTCAGAACTGAAAAAAAAATCGTATTTTCCTTTCACAGGCCTGAAAAATCAAGACTTTCGACTTTGGTGTTAGGATCGGATGGAAAATTGGCTCTAGTATTCAGCGAAGTAGAAGAAAACGACTCAGGAAATTATACTTGTCAAGCGACATACGCTGGAAGTCAAACAATAAAGAAATCAGTTTATATTCAAACCTACCGTAAGTATATGTGAACTCCGTATATTATTTATTCATTAAAAAGATCCACACAGTAATATGACCATAAGCATCATTATTTTCGAAGTTTTAAAAGAATTCTTCGAAAAGAGTATATAATATTCGGTTTTGTTTTATTATAAAAATATGAAACCTTGTTTGTTTTTAACTAAAGTATACGAACTTCTTAATGTATTATGTTTCCTGTGTGTGTAAATGTCGGAAGTAATAATTCAGAAGTATTTGTTTTTGCCAGTTTAAACACGACGGATACGGCTTGTATTTCAGGCACGGTGACGTGGGAAGATGCGCCCAAAGAGCAATACCCTGAGCTCGGTAAAGATTTCAAAGTGAGGTGCAGAGTCACTGGAAAACCTGCCCCGAGGGTTGAATGGAAAATCAACGACAACTTCGTCAAAAATGACGAGAGGTTCATCGTCGAGACGGACGGACTCCTCATCCGGAACGTGCAAAGAACGGACGACGGGATCTACACTTGCAGAGCTTTCGTACTAGACACTGGCGAACTCTCAGAAAGGCAGATTAAAGTTGAGGTGAGTCCTTTTTATTTTGCGGCAATGCTGAGCCGACGGAAAAAATGAATACTGGCGATCTAGGCACCCTACTGGATCTCATATGCAGTAAACTTAGGGAAACTGCTTTGCGGAAAAGAGGCGCTATTCTAGTAAATTGCTATATGTTTCTGGCCCTACCTAGTCTAAATTTATTTCAACATTTCATATTTATCGGCCGATATAAAATAAACATAAATTATAATCCTCTTCAGCATAGCTGTCCTGACATAAAAAAGTTATATACGTGCCAGACCGTTTGAAAATTACCGTGGGTTTATAACAACAATTCTTTAATAACATAACAAATCATGCATAAGATTATAAAAACACGTTGTCAACAATTAAATTTCAACTACAGGCCTTTACAACATTGAATATCACTTTTTTGTCCTTATTTTTTTCTTTTTATAGGCATTTTTAAATAAAATTCACGATTTTACGACGGTTCAACGATCCTGTGCCATTTTCAAGAAAATCTAGTTTATTCAAGAGCATTCGAGAAAAATGTTTTTGTTAACATTTTTCTTTTTTTATATTCTTAATATATTTTTATGATTCATTCATTATTAATTTTTTATCTTACTGTTAACATAAACTTAATAAATTTACGCCTTAACATAATACGTTTTGTTGCTAAAAACTTTATGTTTGTCTAAAAACAAATATGGTAAATATTAAAATAATATTATAAGCCCGTATAAGTCAGTAACCAGATTGAGATGCTCAAATGGCTGCAGTTCAATATAAAATACGCGAGAAAGACAGGAAATAGAAGGAATATACGCGTAGGGCCGGCGATGACCTCAGATGTTTGTCGGCCCATAAACCTTCCACGTTATATAAGCCCTACAGAAAAGCGTATATTTAAACAATATTCAGCCTTGTAATGTGACACGAATTCCTGTTGATAATGTGTAAATTGCAATCAACTTCAAATTCAAACTTAGTCTTGGCCGTTGAACCTTAATGATTTTATTTTTTGAAGAATCTAGATTGACTTTTAGACCAGTGATATTAAATCCAAAAATTGTGTAGCTTCTCTAAAACTGGAGTTCTGGAATCGTTTTTAATTACTCCAAGACACGTTGACATAAATTGATTAATTTGAGTGTGCCCCGATGTCTAAGAAGTTCTTCAGTCGTGATGTTGAAAAACCTCAAAATTTTAGGTCATTCCTAATTTTTCCCCAAAATCCACCAAAACTAATAGTTTCCTTGAAAATTCCATTATGAGTAAAAATGTATGGTATTAAATTCTGCCTCGAATGAGTACCGATTTCTTACAATTATTTTTTTTATTTGATTCTATCGCGACTTTTAAAAAAAAACTAAAAATTGTATGCCTCTTTTCTCTTTTGTTCAAAATTAAGCAATTATGTGAAAGGTCCACTATTAGTAAAACTGCAGAGTATTAAATTCTGCCTCGAATAAGTCCAACATCCTACAATACTCGTACTACACCTAAAGAAAATCTATGTACAAGATAAAATTTAGTATTTCCACACTTAAAAAACTAAGTTTGTCTTTGTAACACGCTCATTATCGATTAGTCGACTAAGATAACGCGAAATGAAGAAATGTAATTATTCAAACCAAGAAGTTAATAAAATTCGAAATTTTGATACTATTTTTGCCACCATCTCAATTATCTTTAACCAAAGTTGTTTGTTCACTTGTTTTTTATTCCAAGATCCATTTGATTCTAAAAATTCAGAATTCGTCATAGACGGAGGTTAATTCTTGCATGGGCGGCAAAAGAACTAAATTAATATAGAAAAAGGGCCACAATTTGATAGAATAGCCTAGCAAATAAGAAGAGTACTAAATTGCGGACCAGCAAAAAATCTACACCAGGTGTCATGTTTGTCGAAACAAGGCTACTAACTATCGCAAAAGAATTATTATTTTTATTTATCTGTTCCTTGAGGATTTTGAAAAGCAATAAAAGACCTAAATTTTCAACATCACGACTGAAGCTCACTGAGAAACGGGGCAAACTTAGATTAAACCCGTACACATTCAATAACTAAATTTTCGTACATTATTGGTAGAAATTCGTGAAATTCCTTTAAGACCAGCAAGAAAATTGATAAATTGTAACAAAACTTAATTAGTTTTATTGCCATTTAAGGTTCATATTCCTCCTTCGTTCGAGAATCCTACTTCAGAGACCAAGGAAGTCGTCGATGGAGAATCAGCGAGCGTGAGCTGCAAAGCTACAGGAAAACCCGATCCGACCTATAAATGGATAAAGGGCTCTTCCAGAGCCGATTTGTCCATGTCCAGTGACAGGTTCGCTGTCAACGACAAAACCGGCGACCTTACGATCACGAAAGTGACCCACGAAGACAACGGAGACTTCATCTGCTTCGCTTTGAACGCTGCCGGCCGGGCGGAGAAAATCGTCAGGTTCACTGTCGTCATCAAACCCCAGGTGATGGATGTGAAGAACGTGTCTTTCGTCGCTGGAGAAACTGCTATTCTGACCTGCAAGGCCACTGGAAATCCCCTTCCAGCAATCACTTTCAGGTAGTAAAGAGATTAAAGCATGAATAAATTATTTAGACCTCGCGAGAAGCACCGGGCAACAGGTTCTACTTAAGATTCTTACCTGTCAACACAGACTCGACCTATTGTTTGCAAAATAAAATCATTATCCGACTTTTTGCATTTAGCATCCGATAAGAGCCAAATTGAGTTTATCCGGAGGGTAAATTTTTGACAAGAGCTTGATCGAAGATCTGGACCGAATATCGTCAGTGCAGATCTGTTATCGGAGTTATTAGACGGCTTTAGGCTTCATGTCATTTTCGATGGAAGATGGATAGACCATTCATCAAGGATAGGACCAGAAGTGATCAATTACCAACAAACTCCTGTCAACAATCCCATTATATTTCGTATTTTGGGCACGTGATTGTGCCTCTATCGCGATTGATTTTATTAACGTATTTATCTATATACATAAACAAAGCGATATTTTATTAATACATTAACTCGTAATCAATGTTACACCAATAATACTGCCTAAACATAAAATCTACTAATACAAAGATATGAAAAATCCCTAAAAACATTATTATGGCGCTTAAATAGTTAAGTAAATTTTAAAAAAAAGTAATGGTACTGAAACTATTTTTACTGGGAAATTGAGTTACTTCATCAGAAGATTGCATGTGTTATACCAAAAGTGAGGGGCTTTTGTTAAATTTCCTTATCCTTAGCTAGTGTTCACTCAAAACTCTGAGTATACTCTCAACAATCATCTATAACTGGTTTAAAACAACGCTTGGATTTTCATGGATTATAATATCGCAGGGGTTGTGAACGCTTTTGTCAAATTTCTGTCAATTGACGAATGACATGTTCGAGATTGATGCGATCCCGGGGTTGAACAACGGTGAAACAGTTCGTATCCCCATTAAATAAGAGTCAGTCTCTCTTTGAGCCGCATGACAAACAGGGGGTTGTGAGACAATAGTGATTCAGAGTCCTTTATCATTTTCAATCACGAGATGACAGCGGGCCGACGTGTCTTACATACGTTGCAAACTGCTGACTTGTACTCATATAACGTCATTTTCGGTCAAAATGTGGGCTCCTGCTAAGGGGGAGCGATGGTGAAATTAAATAAAGATAATTGACTCTGATCACCACGAGAAAATGTGCAATAAGCTCGATATATTGTTTAAATAAAATTTATTAATTTACCTTTTATCGCACATTAAATTTACTCTATTTGTTGATTATCAAACTAATAATTTAATTTTAGTTTCCCTAGAGAAAAACTATTTTGGTTTTAAAACTAAATTTGATACTTACAAGTTGGCAGTTTTGTTTACTTTAGTATAAAATATTGATAAGCATTTCAATAATTTTTACTATTTTTTCCCTTCAGGGGCTATCAACAGTGAAGTCATTTCAACCCCCCCTCGTACTTTCATGCCGATGGGGTACTTGACATTCCACCATCGCCCCCCCCCTTAATCACATACTCACAATTTTAATTATTTACAAATGCATACACATATAAATACTTATACATACACACATTTAAACACATGAACATTTAAATATACAAACATACACATGGACAGATGTTCCCATCTTTACTCACGGTGTTAGCATGCATGCCTACTCGCTCCCTGTAAAAGGCCAAGACTTTCCATCGTTCGATCAGATGTGACAAGTGAGCAACCTTTTTCCACAAACAGTGCACTTGTGCGAATTTTGGTCCAAAAGCAGGTGTACGTGTGTCAGTCGAGTATGGTCTATCCTCAATTAGGTTAGCAGTTTCCTTTCGGTTCAGATCCTTAGAGGGTCATCTTTCAGTCGTTCCCTTGATTCGCTAGAGTTTCTCTGACGAACCGGCCCACTGACGCTGCCAATGCTCTTTTATCACTTTCTTTACGGCCCGAAAATCGTCACTGGGCCGAATCGCGGCAGTTCACACCGCATTCACTCCATCATTCACCATTTCTATAACGTGTCCTGGTACCCAGACGAGTTCTAGAACGCAGCTCGGTATTGGTGCGGCAGAGTACACGACCCAGCTAATACCGCGAGGTCTCGGACGAGTATGGCCGGAAGGACCGAAGGTGGTGTCGGTCTGTTTCCCAGAAGCCGAAGCGAATTTCCAATGGTCGCTTCCGAGTATCCTCGGCTACGATGTGCGCCTGCCACCTTAACTTTTATCGAATACGAGGACGAGGCTTGTAAATAGTGTAAATATTGTACCATACCGGCGCGACCCCAAAAGTGGACACACACGGTTTTCGCCGAGGAAAAAGTTCTTGCACATTTTGTACTATTAAATTACTGAATGTGTTGGCAAATAAAATCAAAAGGTACTACAGTTAATTTTTTTCTCAGGAAATTCACATCCCCTAACAGAATGATCGCTGGCTTACAGCCTAATGAAGACAGAATCATTGTAAACCAGAAGGAAGATTTTGAAAAGGGGCAATCAATCGGCACTCTCACTATTAAAAAACTTGAAAGGAAAGATGACGGACTTTACGCCTGCATAGCCAAAAATAAAGTATGGTAAAAAAATTATTCAAATGTGAATCCAATCTTCTAGCGGTTACTTTAATTTCAGGGTGGTGAGGCGACCAAGAATGGCCACATAACAGTCGAGTTCCGCCCATCTTTCGAGAACTCACCGATGAAAGAGGCTTGGTCCTGGGACAGAAGGCCGGTTAATATAACTTGCGTTGCCGAATCGATACCGAACGCAACGATCACGTGGAAGCTCAACAACAGAGATATCGAAAAAGATCCTAATTTCAGAAAGTTTGGACATGGCCCTCAGAGCACTTTACTTGTAAAAAAACACATATTTTCTTTTTTTTTCTTTTTCTTTTAATTTTTATTTTAAACAAAATATTGTTTCAGGTAACTCCGAGTGACCGGAAATTTTATGGACATTATAAATGTGTAGGGAGAAATCTCCACGGTGAAGCTGAACACACGATAGAATTGAAAGAAGCAAAGGTCCCCTCTGAAGTTGCTCAAGCAAAAATTGAAGTCATTACTGGTAACACAATCGATTATTTGTATTGTCTTCATATTTGTAAGACAGTATAATTTTGAATTGGTTCTAACTGTTCTGTATGTTTTATTGAACAAAGACCATATTGGAAGTTCTATATAAAATTTACACATAATATTTTTGTTAAAACAATTAAATAAAATCTGTTATTCTATTTATACACTACTTCAATTTATTTTTGAAATTGGTAGCTAAATTATTTTTCTGGTTTCATGAAATTAAGACAGTTTTTTGTTTGTCCTTTTTTTTACAGCAACAACTATCACATTCTCCTTTGTCTCGCCAAATGATCATGGAGGAAGACCAATTAAAGCATATGTAGTTCAATACAAAAAAGATAGGGAGACATGGCAAGAAAGTTTGAATAAAACATGGCCAAGAGGTAGACAAAATACGGCCACTTATTTTCTAATCATTTTCTCAATTCAGTTTTTTTATCATTTATGTATTATTCTTCCAGATTCACCATACATTCTAGAAGGCTTAGAACCGCAGGTGCAATATTTCTTCAGATTTGCCGCTTTGAACGATGTCGGTTTGAGTAGTTGGGGGGCAAACCAGCAGCACATCATGCCCAAGCGTTCGAGCCCTGAGGAGCCAATCATACTCAACAAACCGATCCCGCCTCATGACTATGTCATTTCACCTTTTGGTGACAGATACGAACTTAGATGGAAAAAGCCTGCCGATAACGGCGAGTACATTGACAGCTACATGATTAAATACTGTGTTGTAAGTATGACTCATTGTGGCTCAATTGTATTCATTGCTGATGATATTTAATATACATTTTAGGTCAATCGGATAAATAATGCATGGGAGGAGACTGACAGGGGTTGTGAGAAATTAGAACTGAAAAGCACAGAGCTTACGTCAACCATCATCAATAATTTAGCATCCGATTCTTTCTATAAGGTAGAGATCTGGGCGCACAACATAATCGGATTCAGCACTCCTGGCCAGTTATTTTTACAAACAGCAAGAGGTAAGAATAATCCAATATTATTGCTTATACCTACTTAATATATTATTGACATAAAATACTGAGAACAAAGTGTATTTTTTGTGCGGGTATAAAAAATGGAGCTTCAGTGTCGTCATTTATGTCTGAATAATTGGAATTATCGTTTATATTTCCTGGTGTTTTTAGTTAAACAAAATGAGAGGAAACTCGTCAATATAAAAAAATTCAAATTTTAGATATTTAGTTTCATCATAACAACGGTAGCCATCACGTCTTCTTTTATTAACTATTGCTTGTATTTTTTTAAAGATATTGGGATGGTGCAAAATTAATACAGGTTTTGAAAATTTGTTTTATTTTCACAGGCGCTTGTCATTTAAACATAGCTAAATCCTTAAATCAAATTTATGGATTATAATAAATACTTTTAATTGTTATCTTTTATACAAAACATTTTAGTTTATATTTAATTTTACAAGAGAGAGGACCTGCAAAATTAAATATGTCCAAACTAGATCTTCGTTAGATTTACTTGTACGAATTTAAAATTCGTAAGTGCAGCCCATACAGCGCGTAGCATCAATACAGTTTGGTGAGAGGGAAGCATGAGCATAAGCATGGTGCAGCGATGGTTTCAGCTATTTCGTCTTGGAGATTTCGTTATCGATGTGAGGGAAGGCCTTCCATTGTGGACAACGACCAACGCAAAACGTCGATTGAAAAAAATTGACGTAGGACGGGGAATTGCAGAAGAGCTTAGTGTTGACAAACTTAACCGTTGTTTGACATCTGGCGCAAATTGGTAAAGAAGCTCGACAAGTGGGTACCGCACAAACAAACAAAGCCTGTTCCGATGCGCCACCAAAATGATCAATTTCTCGATCGAATAAACACGTGCGATGAAAAATGGATTCTGATAACCGGCAGCGTACAGGTCAGTGGTTGGAAAAGGATGAAGCGCCAAAACACTTCCCGAAACCAAATCCGCAGCCAAGTCAACGTCAGACTTAAGTCAAAAAGTATGGTGTCTGTTTAGTGGTGTACTGCTGGGGTTGTTCACTATAATTTCCTGAATCACAGCAGAGAAATATTGCAAAGAAATTGACAAAATGCACGGGAAACTGCAACGTCTTTGCCCTGCATAGGTGAAACTTCTTTTTCAGGATAACGCCAGGCCACATGTCACAATGCCTACCCTTCAGAAACTTGAGGACTTAGGATATGAAACCTTATCGCACCCTCCATATTCACCCGACCTCTCGCCTACAGACTTCCAATTTTTTAAGTATGTTGATCACTTCTTGAGGGATAACATTTTTAGAGAACGCGATGAAGCCGCAAACGCCTCCCACGACTTTATTGTGAGTCGAAATAAAGATTTTTATGTCGGCGGAATGAGAGCGCTTATTATGGCCAGGATGTATAGGCTGTCTTTTCTCAGCCTGCATTATTTTTGTACCAGCCCAATATTTTTATTTGAGGTGTTGGTAAAACAGGGCACCAGGCAGATGCTTAGTATGTAGTAAGCAAAACAGCACAAGCAAACTGAAATTAAGTTAGAACTTTATAAATGCACTTTAAAAAAACTGTTTTAGAAAAGTATTTAGTTGTAATTTTAGAAAAAGTGTATTTCTTAACAGAATTTCCTAAAATTTATCCACATTATTGATTCAGATAATTACTACACCGGACAACAATCGTCTTCAACCTCTACAGGGACGCCTTTGAAAATTAATTTTATAGTATTAGTACTAGCATTTTTCTTTCTACTTTAAATGCTTGGTTTTATATTTATTAAACAAACCAATTTTTTTATAACAACTAGGTGTAAATTAATTTAATTTACATCAAGTCGTAAATCAACAAAAAGAAACTAGTCTTTTAATAAAATAAACAAATGGGCCAAGTATGGTTTTCGATTTCATTTTCATAAAATAATTCAATGTTATTTTATCAATGTGATTGTCAGTTATAAAAATTAACTTGGCCCAATAAAATTTGAAGTATGAAATAATAACTTTGTGATAGTCAGACACATTGATACACTTTTAAATAAATGTTTATATGTTTAAACAATTGAAACTTGTTAAACCATTCCTAACCAATTGAAACTTGTAAAAATGTCAATGTAAAAACAATATTTATGATAAATTGGCATAATGTAATCAGAGTAAATACGATCGAACACACTAATTTATACAAAAGTTAAAATAATAGTATTCAATCATTAAAATATTTGAGCATTACTAAGTTAGTTTTTATGTATGTATATTTCTACATTTATAATTCCTACAGTTTCTAACAATATTTATGTAACGTGGTAGTGTCAATTTTTACACATTTACAGCTAGTTGCAATCCGTATTAACAAATTTCGTTACTTAAAATTTATGCAGTGGGGTAAATAAGACATGTTCCCCTCGAATCATACATTGTGTTCAGAACGTTTAGAAAAGCCAGACATAAGTTTTACACCACCTCACTTCTAAAATTGTTATTAGATTCGTAAACTTAATATTGTATTGTGATATCTGGAGGATTGTCAGTGACATTTTGAAAATACGTAATCTCATCGAATATTAAAAGAAAAGACATAATTGTTTTTATAAATGAATTATTTGATCTCTTAGATGTTCTTTCTAACAGGTAATCCGTTTTAAAATCCTCAGTGTTATGAACATATGTAGAAGATTATTTGAATACTTTTATAAGCCTTTAGTTTTTTCTTTGTTCCTTTGTTTCATTTTTTTATATTGTATACAATTTTAACTTATGTCTTGTAATTTTCTTATTAATTAAAAAATACATATTATCATTTTAGAATCTGTACACATAAATCACAATATATATTTTATTTATTTTCATGTTTTGTTTGTTTTGTGAATCAAATGTTAATTTATATAAACCTTATATAGCCAGTCTGTAAATTTACAGATATTAATTTAAAATTGATTAAATTTTCACAATTTTTTAATCTCATAATTTTAACTTTTTCTTTTAATTTGTTTTTCTATTTTTTGCGATTATTAAGTCGATCGATTATTAAGTTAACGTACTTGTTACTTTTAACATTTTATCATATAATGTACGTGTATACAGAGTAGCTAATATGTTTTGTACATTCAGTTAAAAAAATATAAATTGTAAAGATCATTAATTTTAAATATATTTTAAGAAGGAATTGTTTTTGTTTTATTATTATTATTATTGTTAGCAGCTTATTTGAAATTAATTGGTGTGATCTCAGAGAAAATCAGCTTTTTCAATCAGTAGTTCTTGTTTTTTTAAATTTTAGCATGAAATTCTTGTAAAATGTTCCTTTACAAAAAAAATTTTTAAAAAATCCCTAACTTATTTTGTTTATAACTAACATTTAATCGCATTGAAACGCTGATTTTCGTTTTATTTTGTTCCTTCCTTAAGTATGTGCGTGTGCGTGTACCTGTGTGTTCTTTTTTATGCCATGCTGGAACACTACCCTGCTAGATGATGGTTTTAAGGGTAAAAACATCAATTCAGTTGTATAGTAGTGATAATTTCTCAGTCTTGCAGCCTCAGCTTCATTCTCCAAGACCCAAAATTAAGTGTCCTAATCCTAATAGGTAAATATACAACCATTTGATTGGTCCTAGATTAGTTGGTAGTGGTAACCAAATTCACTTACAGAAATTGTTTTAAAATTATCTTTAAGGATATCATTAAATTCACAAATTCACATGTGCTTAGCTTTGGCTTTGAAGCTTGCTTTCTGCTTCTTCACAAATAGTGCTTTACAAAAACCAGCATGACGCAATAATTTCATGAGTTTGACACTAATATTTTTTTCTTGTAAAGTACACAAAACGGATTGCCCTGTTAGATTTTAGTACGTTTCTTTAGTTAGTCAAGTATTTTATCATGTATATAATGTCATATTAATTTTCTGGCATATGTAATGAGCAGAATATTTAAAAAATATGTTAATTAGATTACCTTATTGCGTAATTAAAAAATTTAATTTATTTTTGGACCAATAATTATAAAACTTGTATATAATATAGTTATTTTTTAATAAGTAATGTAATTTATTTATTCTGTATTTCATATAATTTTGCAATCTAAAAAAAATTGTAAATACAATTTATTCCCATAAGAATTTTTTTTAATATATGCATTTTTATTCAAGCACAGCATGTAATTTAAATGAATTTATCATATCAGATCACTTAACACAGCACTGTGGTTAAAGGTCAGAGCCACCGAACTAACTCAGCATCACCAACTTCACTGCAGATGCAATTAATCCAGGGGCGGTGGTGGGCTTCAGTGGATTTGAATTTCCTCTAATGCAACTGTTACAAACTAGGCCTAATATTTTTCAATTGTACAAAGTCTTGTAGCACTTCAAATACTATTAATCAACGCTCACTGTACATTTTTCTGTTACAGGAAGTGACACGATGATGTATCACAACAGTGATGCCCACCTTTCCAGCTCTTTGTTAATCGTTGTTGTCGTAGCGGCGTTATTGGTGATCCTTATTATTGTCGATGTATCTTGTTTCTTTGTCAACGACACAGGTCGGTACATTCACATTTCACTACATTTTACCATTATCATTCGTGCCAATAACACAAAATTTTGTAGGTATTCTGTGGCTGATGTGTGGAAAAAAGAAAGCTAGATCAACAAGAGAAGAAGATGCAAAGCTTGGAAGGTATTTATTTTTTATAAACTCTATAAGAAAATTTTGACTATAAGAAAAAATTGATTGTGAAATTCTTTACTTAAAAATTCATATTTACTTTTTAATCAATTTCAAATATTCAGAATACTACATCAATACAAGAATGTTTAAAAGTCTATTACAAACACGACTTTTTATTTATAACGAGGAAGGTGTTTACAAACAACAAAAGCAAGCTTTTATAATTATATTTATTTATTATCAATATCATATATTTATTAAAAGCAGAACTTTCATTATTTAATAATTTGAATTTTTCAGTTATAAGTAGATGTTATATCGTGGGAGATTTTATAAAAAAAAGGGCTTTTGTCTTTACGTTGTCTAATTTATGGTTAAACTAAGTATGATTCCTACAGTACTTTTTCTTGAATCTGCTGGTGCTATTAAAAATTTAATAAGTTGGCGCATTGAACCTGATAATCAATTTTTTTCGAAGGTTTTTTTCCATAAAAATAAAACATTACGTTTAATAATTTAAAAGGTCTTTTAAAAGACCTTTCCATTCTAAAAATTATCAGTATTAGAAATATCGACCACTTTTTTAACCCCCCTGAACACTTTGGATCAAGGTACGGTGTTGACGGAGAAAGCAAATTCAGTTGTTTCTGCCAAGCTTTCGGCTTATTTTAAAGTCGTCATCAGGGCAAAACCATTTTAAATAGGCACACGGATTGACATATTTAAGTTTTTTACAGGCGATCTCTAATTTCCTTGAAGAACGACTCAATCCCAACATTGCCAAGGTCTGTGAAAGCTTGGCACTGACAACTGAATTTGCTTTCTTCAACACTATACCTTTATCCAGAGTGTTCGTGATTAAAAAATTGTTTCAGAAACTCGAAAAGTCATCGATTTGTACGAGATATTGAAGTTATCCTTCAGAATTTCTTAATATCAATTAATCAGGTGACTGGTTAAAAGGGAATTAAAAAGGAAAATTGAATATTTAATTAATAAATAAGAAAATTAAATTCGTGTTGATTTTCACAAACCTAACTTTTAACAACTTCAATCAATTACACGATAAAGTGATATTGTCGAGTTCTTAAGGAAAATTAAAATATCACCAAAACGAATTGATGAATTTTTAAAGTTTCTGGTATTTTCTTTTTAAGAATGAAAAGGACTTTGAAAATGTGTTACAAAATTCTTCCTCAAATTTGTTTTGAAGAGGAAACTTATTCGCTGAATTTTTGAGAATGATTTTTTAATACATTTTGAAAATACATCTAAAAAGGAAGATTTCCATTCTAAAAGAAATTATACCAAAAACTTAAAAATTCATCGATTTGTACTGGAGATATTCAAGCTATCCTTCAGAACGTAATAATTTCAATTAATCATGTAACTGGTTGAATAAGTAATTGAAAATGAAATTTGAAGATTTAATTGAATAAAATGTGAAAAGGTTTGTGGCTGATTTTTCAAACATAACTTTTACAAACAACAATCAGTTACACATTAAATTGAAATTATTGAGTTGTGGAAGAAAACTTCAATTTCTCCAAAACATTCGATGAATTTTTGAGTTTCTGGTATTTATGTTGGAAACACGACGCCATATTGGGAAGATGAAACAAATGGAATCGTAGGTAGCTTCCCTGCCGTCCTTCCCGGGTTCCATGCCGATTTATTATTTATTTAAATTTAGTAAAACAATTAAAATCACAAATAAAATCATGACCAACTATAGTGGGTACCGTCATGCTATTAAAAGTCCAACCAATTTGCTCGTTAATATTATTGCTTACCTTCGATCATCCTCTTAAGAATCGGTCATGGATTTAATTCGACAATTGCAATAATACTTCATCGATCATTAAATTAACTATTTAATACTGAAATGCAAGAACTAATAAGTCAACAACAGTCTCGAACACAGGTCACAGATTGCACGTCCTATTTTAACTGTCTGCCGCCTCGGCAACTCGATATAACCTAAATCGCATGTTTTGTCTATTGTGCCCTACCGCTTCTGACCTCTGAAGTAACCAAATAAGCGAAATCCGCCGACATATACAGGATGGTCCAGTACAAACACAAAATATTGGGTTATAGGTTATAGTGCATCCTAAATACAGTAAAATGCAACCAACCGAACTGTCTCAATCTCAATCCGGTCGGAAGTTACGAATTTTTGTTTTTTAGAAAAAAACCGGTTTTAAGCCATAAATTGGCTTGTTCAAAGATCTAGAGCATCCTTTCCAATTTTTAGCCACATGTTTGAATTCTAATTAAATTTCCTATAAGAAGGAGCTATTTTTTAATTGTATCAAACGATGTACATTTATTAATTCAACCCAATATGAAGAATTTTAAAAAAGGAGAAAGAAACTTTTGATAAATTTACCAAAAAAAAGATTGCAACAAACATATTTTTAGGGATGACAAGCTTTCTTATGGTGTACTCGAAGTTCCAAAAACGTCAACCCTTCAACGGTAAAATCAACGTGTGTTCTTAGTGAGCGGTTTCTCATTTGTTCTGTTCATTATCTGTTAAGTCGTGAGGAGCGGTCAAGAATGAGGTAGTTTAGAAAAACACCTTTCACACACAAAACCAATATAACACCACAAGAATAGCACCACACTTCATACCCTGAAGATGACCGGAATAAAGTTCGAAGCGTTGTTTCTCTAAACTACCTTATTCTTGACCGCTCGTCATGACTTCAACAAATTGTGGTAAAATCAACCTGGAATGTTGAAAAACGTGGTTCAAATTTAACGCATACAGAAGAGGTGTTTTTATTAATTTTATTTTTTTATTTTATTATTTATTTTTATCGTTCGCCGGGTTGGGGCAATAACACTATTTCCTTCCTTGCTGCCCAATGCAAAATAGGACAGAATTGTACTTGTTTAGAACTCCAGCAGTGTATAAGAACCTTGAATCTACAAGAGAAATAGTTTGATGTTCTCTCCTATTTTATGTACCTAGGGTTACCCGGCTATCAGTTACAATATTCACTTTTTTAATAACAGGTTCTTGAACAGTCGTGACCCATCGGAATGCGTTTAAAATACCAAGCATTTCGGCCTGATTATTTAAACAATCATCCGCCAATCTGTATTTTAAACTGGTAAACTAACTGTAATTAAACTGGTAAATAGTTTACTTTTTGTAAAAATAACTGTCTCTCTTTCTTTCTTCCATCCGTATATCTGGTGCGGAATCTTCTAAGAGTTCCGAAAAATCATCTGGATGAATCCATTTCTCTGGAGAAACCGAAGAAAGTTTCCCACTCCGCAGCGTAACTAGCTTCCTCAATTTGATCCTCTTTGCCATTAAGGATTTTGAACCTCTGGGAATATTCTTGTATTTTTGTAATCTAAGCCGGAGCTCCATATTGGCACAACGTATGAGAGTATGGGTTCTATGGCACTTATTCCATTTAATTCCAGCGCACTGCTGCTGAGTTCCCAGTGCACCTTAGCGGAACGAGAAAGTGTATTAACTAATTTTAAGGTTTTCTGAGTGAAATAATCGATATGGCGGGTCCACTTGAAATATTTTGTAAAGATGACCCCGAGGTAAGTTAGCTGTTTAACAATTTTCAGCTTTGAGAAGTTCAGGTAGAATTGATAATCAAGCGATGTGCGTGTTTTTAAGCACCTGTGTATTATCTGCATTGATATACCCTTATTCTTCCATGGCCCAAATATCAATGTTTCCATGTACTGTATTATGCAATTTAGGCTTAAGGTAGGGATTTTTCGAAAAAAAAACGTAAAAATTCATAACTCCCCATCGGATTGAGATGGAACAGTTCAGTTGGTCGCATTTTACCCTATTTGGGATGTGCTATAACCAATTTTTTCGGGTTTATGCTGGACCACCATGTATATATTTTATTTTTATTTTTTAAATATGTATATTTTAGAATGGAGCGAACTTTCAAAATCAGTGAAAAAATAAAGCATAACAATTAGTTGGAATCGTGAGGAGCGGTCAAGAATGAGGTAGTTTAAAAAACACCTTTTTATTTTTTTGCCGACGTTTCGACCTTTATTCGGGTCACCTTCAGGGCCTGGGTGAATTAGAAAACATATGTTGATATGAAAAAATATATTACAGATGTAACTATAAATTTTGAACCAAGTATTTCATACTCACATGGTGATGCTATTCTTGTGGTTTCATATTGGTTTTGTGTGAAATTGTTTTGAAACGTGGATTTCTATTCTTCAGTTTGTGTACGATTTTGACAGGGTGAGGGGTGCAGTAAATTTGGGAAATTTATAAGAATGTATATATACATATATATCATATTTGAAAACAAAAGTTTAGCACTAAGTTGGCTTAATGCAACAACTTATTAAAATTCTATAGCACCAACCAATCAAGGAGGATAATTTTTGAACCATAATCATTTTTACAATCAGCCTAAAAATAAATAATGTTTTGTAAAAACTCACATGGTATATAAATCGGAATTATTTTTAAGCCTGACAAAATTATTTATAACTAAAGAGAGTCTAAAATTCCAATCCTCAGGATTTTTAGCTTTATTCTTCCTCATCTAAATCTTTAAACAGTTTACCATTTCATGTTGTTCAATTCGGTAATATTGCCATGACAATTGATCAATATATCATTGAGTTGGAATTAAATAATCGCTTTCACTGGGTAAAACGAAAAATGGTAAATGGTTTCAGCCTTTATAGTTGGAGATTCCCCTTGCCCTATTGCAGTAATAAAGACACTTCCTCAAATGAGAGTGGTAGCCCAGGAAATTCAGGATGTGACACTGTGAAAGTTCCTCTTCCAGATATGAATTTTGTATTGTAAGGCCCAATGGTTAATGAATATAAATAGATGTTGTCGTGTGGTTTGTTTTTGATTTGTCATCCCAGCTTGACAACGCATGTAGGACTTGCTTATTGATTTAGGCTTTTAAAACCTTGGACTTTTTTCATTCTGTAGACATTACACTTGAGTGTGAGTAGACCATTCGGATACACAGACTTGTAGAGATTTAATTTCCAAGGTTTGAACTTTTAAGGGTCACTCTGATAGCTTAGCTCGTACTGTAGGGGGTGCTAGGCCTTGTTAAGCTTACGTTTTCATCCTCGTGGGAATTTTTTAAAAATGCAAATAAAGTTTTTGAACAAATGAACAACACAACGTTGTTATTCTGTTATTCAGCATGTCTACTTTAAAAAAACATGAACAATTGTATTTAAAACTAAAAGTTGAGTCAATCTCATTTGCATGCAGTTTCATATATAATTTATAACGGAGTTTAATCATATTTTTTATTAATTAATATAATGGTTAATAACATTGTAATAATTAATAATTTAATGAAAATCATATGTACATATCAACTCATTATGGTTATTTTCCAAATAATTATCAAGCCATATTATACATCAGATATTATATAAAAATACTATCTATTAATTGAACAACCAAATGAACAACTTATTACATAACTTAGTGTTATTCAAAATAGTGTTTATGAAAATTTACATAAAATGCGTCTTTGAAACGGAGTGACCCTTGGAGACTTGTAAAATATGCTTTGTGTGAATAATTTCAAGCTGTTTGAGAGTGAAAGAGATATTTTTGCATTTTGTTCGCTGAATTTCATATTGTTTCTTTACCTTGTACAATAAGGATATCAGTCAGTGGACAATTAAAGAGCCCAAAAAATTTTATTTGTAATTATTTTTTATTTTGGCCACTGCTAGCTAGATCCTAGTCTGATATCTTACCTTTGAAATTATGCATGTGTATTAAGGAAGTATAATTTTTAAACTACCTTTTTGATATTTCAGCGAGGCCAAAGGACTGCTGAAAAATGGTAACCAAGATGGAAAAATCAGAATTGAAGGCACTGACAGGTAATTATATTATTGTTAACATAATTTTACCTTTAAATTTACTACATTTGAATTGCGCCAAGCCAGAAAGGGCCTCTGCCTTCCAAATGCCATTTGAGAAAATTAACAAGGTGTTTAGCTAATAAATACCCTAATGAAATCTCATGGATGTGACGATACACTTAATATTAAACCTTAAAGGTGGCCATTCACGATCGCTCCAAATGGGACCGCGCCAAGCCGTATAGCTCCATTTAGAGTGCCTGAAATTTGAGGGGGCATTCACGACCGCTCCACAGCCAGACGCTCCGAATGTCTTCTAGTGAATTACCTTTTCAAAATGGATGACGATTGTGTTACACTGCTGTTTTTATATATTAAAAGCAAAAAACCGAAGAGGAAATGGTATAAGAAGTGGCTCCTGAACAGAAGCCGTAATGCCCTCATCAATTTGATGAAAGATCTTTCCCTTGAACCCGCTAATTGGAGGAACTATTTAAGCATGGATGAAATGTCTTATTTATTCATTACATTTAGTGTTCTATTGACCAAATTACTTGTTTCAATTAATTAATAATTTTTGGCAAAAACAGGGAAATTTCGAAAGGTTGTAGGTTGAGATGGGGAGTTGGTGTCCGAGTGGATCGAACTATCGAAGTCACGATAGCTTAAGTGGCTAGAGCAGCGGCGATTTAGTCGAATGTCGTGGATTCGAATCCCCTCGTGACACATTTTTTCATTTCAACCAAAACCTTACAAAAAAAAGATTAATGTCTTATTTATATTTACTACAGCTTGTTACCTCCTTGATTAGAAAATAAAATACAGTCATGAGAGAAATCACTCTACATGAAAGGTTGGCAGCCACGTTATGATTTCTCGCTATAGGGATGAACTACGAAGAACTTTAATTTCTCCACTACGTTTTCTGATCAGCGCTTAAGGGTTATTAATACCGCATCTCTCGTTGCATTTGTATCCTTTGTTTTGAAAAGGTCAACCAACTGGTTGAGGACCGATTTTCTTTTATTTTAATCGTGGTTATCATTGTCCACCACTTTCCATAAACATGGTAAATTTTCATACAATTCAATAACCTCAACAATAAAATCTCGATTGGATGTCATTGCCAATAAAGAATAAATGTTTTTGACTTTTTGAGAATGTACGACGGAGATGTTTGCTCAGTGACAGAAAGACGGAGTCTGTGCCAAAAAAACGCGGGTTTTCCCATTCACGAACTCGCCATGCCGTCGTCGTGCCGTAGATATTTGGAGTGGCGTGATGGAGTTTCGACCGGTCGAATATTCGGCACAGCCGGGCACGCCAGTTCAGTTTTGCCATTGACGTGTTTTTGGAACGGCGTCGCTCAGTTTGGAATGCTAGGAGCGGTCGTGAATGGCCACCTTTAATTTCAGATATTATCAGTTTAAAAAACTAAAAATGATTGAGTTAAGATCCAGACATTTGCTGGCCACTGAACACAACACCATGGTGCAGCAAGGTTAAGATGCATGTTGCCCCCCACAAACCAGGAATTGCAAAGGAGGTGAGATGCGTCGGTGAAGGGAAAATACACCCACACCCCCATCATTTTTATGTTGACCACTATATCGCCCAGCTTCATGCACGACATGGCGAGTTTGCAACGAAACTGGGAAACCCTCCTGAAAATATTTGACTTGCTACTGTGCTTGACCTATTTTATGGCTGCATGGCCTATTCTTCAGCCTGAAAAATGCACCTGCAGAGGGTCAATAGGCTCTACTATCAGGGTCTTCGAGCGTTCTCTGGCTTGTTCAGAACAAGCCCTTTGACCAGCCTTTCCTGCGAGCTGGGGGTGTTGCCGCCCAAATTTTGGAGGTAGCAGCTCACCCCCAACTATGCAGTGAGGTTCCTTGCCAAACCAGGACATCCACTTTCGGGTGCGATTCTTACATGCCAGTACAGTAGAATATACGAGTGACTTCAGACCCACACACTACCTGTAGAAATACACTTCAGCGAAGCCTTAGGGAGGGTGGCGATGACACTTGGAATGGTACTCGAGCTGAGCAACTGGCCAACTCCACCCTGGATTCTCCCTGCTGTACTAGTCCGGGAAGATCTCACCAGGTTAACCAAGTAGGCTACTCCGCCATACCTTTACTGAGCTAAGTTCTTGGAGCTTAGGTCGAGGTATGCTGGTTTTTGGCTTGACTTTACGGATGGGTTTAAGACTGATGGTGTAGCGTGCACAGTGTGTCGCAAGGGTGCGTCGACCTTGCGGTCACTCCTCCACACTGTATTGTTTACACGGTAGAACTGCATGCGATTTGTCATGCCCTTGGGGTGATTCGAGATGATGGTGGCCCTGCCTACCTAGTCTGCACCAATGCCCTAAAGCAATTACTGCTATCGGATTTACTGTGTGATGTGAGAGGGTCGGTGGCAGAATACCAAGTACCTCATTGACCCGAGATAAGGTTAGTTGTATACTACATGTAAAGGCTGTGTTGAGAGTGAATGCATTTATTAGAGTGAATGTGTGATGTGAGAAGGTTGATGGCAGAATATTGACTATCTCATCAACCCTCAATTAGAATAATTGTAAAGGGTGATGGAGGAATATATAGCCTAATTGAATGAATGGTATGTAAATAAAAGAGAATTTATTTAAGAATGAACAGGAGTATAAATGGGTTTGGATATGTCAGGTGCTAAATTGATCTAGCTGTTGTGCGGATTAGAGCCTATATAAAACCAAATCCAAATTTTAATAAAACGGGTGTCTATGGAATTGGTGATTTTGAGATGACCTGAATTTGGCCACCTCGAGTGACTCCCATAATCCCTGTATTTTTTAATGCTTCTGACTGATCCATCACAGGTATCTTAAATGATTCATTATGGCACACAAAACATAAACATAGTAAAGAACATATAGAGAAGTTACTACTCAAATATGAAAACCGACTGAAAGGAACATTGAAATGTACCAAAAATAATTTTGAATTTTCATTTGCTGGTAAAATGATGTGATTAATCCACAATGACTCGCATGGAACAAATAATATTACTATAAGTATAAACAAAACATGGGTTGAGGTCAAAGTCTAAAAAATATCAAGATACCTAGGTGTTTATTTTTGTATTTATTTTTCTTTTTTAATATTGTTTTATTATACCTTTCATAATATCCTAATAGATATTTTTGCATATCTTAACATAAACATTTTCTTCTGAAATGTCTCCAAATTGTCTGTGGATTTATGAGCCTGTAATTTGGTTATGACAGAACATTTTGGTCTGACTATCATCATTGATTGGATCATAATGATCCAAATTGCATAAACATTTCCATATTTTTTAATTGTGAACTAGTTGTAAGTTATTGTTTTATTAGATAATAGTTAGTTGTTTCATTGCAGTTATAAAAGAGATACAACAGTTGAGTATGACATGAAGAAATCGGTTTCACGAACCAGCTTCGTAGGAAAGGATTCAGCAGTGTAATTGGAAAAGAATGGATAAGTACTTTATAAATGTATAAAATTTGACCACTTCATTGTGGTTTTGTCGCCTTATTATCATTAATTTCATAATGCATTTTCATTTATACCATTGTAAAAAAAAGTATTAAAAAAAAATGAAGCTACAAAGTGAAAGACTAAAGTGAAACCTATCACCCATTTTGATATTTTTAATTGGAAGACCATGAGCTTACCATTGAAAAATTGTAATTTTTTAATAAACTTTTTATTTCAGAAAATATAAAGGGACCGTACAAATTAATATTACAAACTATTTTAAAAATTTCTTAAAACTTAAATTGTTAAGTTTGTCCAATGTGTAATTAAGTCCCATGTTTTATTTTGTTTTAACTAATCAATCCTCATGAATTTATCGCAAATTTGTGTCATCTACTTTGTGGTGTTGAAAGGAAAAATTATTTAAATGTAAATACAAATTCACAAATTTTTGCGTTGTCTATGTGTGAACAGGTTCAAAGACAAGCAAACTAAATGTTTTACATTTTATCTCAACCTTTGTATTACTGTACAGTGTGCACTGATGAAATTCCAAAGAAAATAGTTTTTTGGCTGACATTAATTGTGATACTATATTGTCATTTAACTTGTCTAGTATATTTTCATAATATATGTATAATCTTTCTATTAATATTACGGAAAAAATTGTTTACTTAATTAGGTATAAGGTTTCTTTAATTATTATTGAAATTATTGCTTTTATTGGAAAAAGTCAGCTCGATATGTTTAATAATTAATTATTCTTACTTAAAATAATGCATTATAAATGTGTATAGTTGGTGCAAAGTGTTTGTATATACAAAACTTATGAGATATATATACACAATTTTGTTATACTACAGTGGGAATGTATGTGTACGCTTGCATTGTGCTTGTTTCTGCAATGATACTGTATATCAAAATTTTGGAAATTCCAAAACATTTTTCATATTTTTGTTTGTCAATTTAACCTAAGACTGCCGACATAAAATATAGACAATAATGCTCCTGGAAAAGGAAATAAAATTGAACTTATTGCTACTTATAGAGTTGCAAATATTAGATTGAAACAACATTCTTATTCTTTTCATTTTTTTTAAATTTTTTTATTTTAAGTCATACAATTAAAACATATTTAGAAATTTATTATCAGTAACATCACAAACAAAGCATTTTTGTGTATTAGTTGACTCTTTTATTTATTTTATTAAATGATTACTATTTCTTATATTGTATAAAAATGTTGTATAAAGATGTGAATTGTACTGTGAATGGTCAGAGCGCATTTATAAAATTTTGTCAGCTCTGTTGATGCTGTGTTTGTGAATTATGATAGGCGCTTCCATGTTTGCAGAAAATTATCTTTTATGTGTTTTTAATAAAAATGTAAAAACCATAATTTCTCTTTCTTATTTAATCTATCATTATTCCCCTCATATCTGCATTTGAATTTAAATTCATGGATAGTATTTATAATAAATTAAATTTGCTTTATTTATAAATTACACATTATTATATCCTTGTAGCACCAAGTGCTGCTCTCTTCTAATCATCACATTGGACCCTTCAAAGCATTTCTCTGGTTTAGCTGGCACATCTGGTACAAATGAGTGTATCCAGTTTAAATACGGACATGTGAACATGTAAGTATGGACAATTTTTTTCGATCCGCAATCCATGTCACTCGGCTTTTTGTACTTGTACTTCTCGATGTAAACTTGATGTGCGATTCCTACAAGCTCTCCTAAAAGTTTTATTGTGTGTGTATTTAACATTAAGGTTTTTTTATTGTGATGTTTCTAAAAAAAAATATTACCATCACAAATTAATGGACCACCGCTATCTCCATCACACAATCCTCGTCCATTATTTCCCTTTAGGCAAATCATATTTTTTCTTTCTCTCAAATTTAGTCCACGACAGATACTCCTCGACTGAACTGCAACAACGCTGAGCCCATGCAGAACAGTATTTGCCTTGTTCCGCCCTGTGTCACCTATAAACAGTAAAATTAAGTTGATTTTATCATTTTGGTGACCCTGACTGTTTTCATCTGTCAGACATATTTCAGCTTCAAACTTTAGAATGTGAGAAAACAAAACTACTGGGTCAAAGGAGCAATAAGACAACAACAAAATGAGCAGATATGCCCAAATTACAATAGCATTTTTACTGAATTATAAAACAACATTGTTTAATGTGTGTTATCAATTGTGTGAATTGCATTATTTCTGATAAATGTTTTCAGTAACTAAAGAACATTTGAGGATATGCAGGTGATTTTGGATCTTCAGCACAGGAAAAAATGTCAGTATCATCAATAAAAGTATTAAGTTGCTGTGTGTAGGTCAAGCATGCAAAGTGAGTAAATAGGGAAGCAAGGGCGCTGCCATGTAGACACCAGATAGAATAGGATATATATATANGACATTCATACAAATGAGTAATCCTGTAAACGTAAACAGAATATTTTATATAGATTTTTTTTAATGAAAACTTAAAATCCTGCATTATTTTCCGGACAACCCAATATATATATAAGTCTGAAGTTTTCTGGGAAATTAAAAAAAAATTAATGAGGAAGAGGAGAATACATTTTAATTATTTTTAAACAATTCTGTATAAAATATGCTCCAGAAAAATTGGAATTGATCAAGTTTAATATTTTTAGCATTAGAGTAATGTTGATATCAGTCTTAATAATAAACTATATATAAACGATCAAGGAAAAGACAAAATTAGAAATAGTTTCAGTCTTGATGGAAAGGATATATTCCTCGAAAGCTTGACAAAGGAAATAAATTTTCTTCTTTCTTTTAAATATAAGTGATTATTTAGGTAAAAGAAATATTTGAGAATTATTGTTATACAGAGTACAATAAGTAAATTAAGTTGGAAGATAAATTAATTAATTCAAATATTTGATAAATGAATTTTATACTGTAAACATTTGATCAATTTTATGAGACACTTTAATTAAGTTGCAATGATATTAATTTATAAAAATGTAGAAAATAAACAATACACCCTACCTTAAAATATTGACTTACCCCAACCAGTAGCTGTGCAAAGCTTTTTTTTATTAATAATAAAAGGCCTCCCAGATACTAAAATTGGTTCTACTTCTGGAGTGAGTTCAAATGCATTGACATTTACCAAACACAAATCAGATCCTGAAATTCTTATTTCCTAAAAAGATAGGAGATGATGATTGTAGAGATCAATTTATAAATTAAGGGTTTTAAACCTCAAATTTAGGATGAATATGAAGTGATTTTGCAACTCTTTCCTGCCTTGATTTTGCCTCTATGTCAAAAAAGTCTACAATTCCAGCAACAAGTAGAACATCATTCTCATTGACAACAGTCATGTTTGCTATGTAGCAATGTGCTGCTCCAAGCACCCACTCTGGGTGGATAATGCTTGCCGTACATCTTATCTAGAAATGATGTCCTGGATTAATGTTTGTCTGCTAACGCTGAATTGAACTTATTACTCACTTTAGGATGGAGCGAAGCAACTAAATAAGGGTAATCTCCAATTTGCGCTTCAAAGCCTCCTGCTAATCTTGTTAATTTTCTTGAAGCACCAAAGCGGCTGCAACCAGCGAGTACAAAAACAAGAAAATATAAAAGTCTAAAGTTATGCATAAATTAAAAACATCAACAGCTGATGTTTTCTCTTTCAATCTTTAATGCTCTAAAATGGGGGAAAATCCACAATATCTAAGGAGGATTTAGTTCATTTGGAAATAATGCTGTTTAATATTCAAATATCACTAATCTTAAGAGCATTTTTTTGTAAAACTGAAAAATAAGGCCAACTAAGAATGTTTTAATATATAATGTGCTACTTTTGTTTGCTGAGTGTGTTTTAAACTACTTTACACTGCTAAAAAATTGTAATGTGTCTTGTAATAAATTGTATTCTCATTCATTTCTCAGACTTTATTCAACAAATTAACCTTGTTAATATTTCTTGATATTCTATCTTTTGTTCTTAAGCTTTTTTTCAATGGAGCAGTTTATAGAGAAGTTGGTCTGCGACTTGTTAAAAATTAGTTTGCAGGAGAGACTCAAACAAGATCAACCATTAGAAAAATTATCCGGCAAATCACAATTGTAATGTTTTATTAATTCTTGATAGAAATTTTTTTAATACTCTTCATTGGTTAAAGTTATGATGTTGCCTTCCTGTTTTCCATTTCTGACTTTTCTGAAAACAAAAACCATTATTCTTAATGAAAGGCTCGGAAAACAAAATAAAACAAATCTTGTATAGTAACATGTTTATTTGGTTGTTAAAAATTAAGGTACCCAAGTTTGTAAAGGTACTGCTATTACGTCCTTTATAAAACTGTAATTACTTTAATCAAAAGTTTTAAAAATTAATTTTCTTGTATATAATATAAATTAAAAAAACAATAAGACATTATGGTGCTGGGTGCAATAAATTATTCTGACTTAATTAACAATATTTTTCTATCTTTTGATAATTGCTAATTATTCCAACCCAATTTAAAATATTTTAATTGGAAATGCAGAGTGAATCATTATTACAATTATTTTAACAATAAAAATTGTGTAATAGTTTACTCACAATAAAAATTTTGAAAACAGTTCATATTTTGATATAAATTAATTTTTGTTGTTTTGATTCATCTACAACAAACATATATTTTTCACATTGAAGAGTATGAATACAATGTAGTCAGTCTTTTGAACAACAATAACAATAATGATAATAATGTTAAACTTGGAAACAAGAATACAATTGATGAGAAAGTTACTAAACAATAAGAAGTCAAAGCAATTTTTTGCATATTTATATTTACACAATTAATACTGGATTACAATGAGGTGCCCACTCAAATGTGGTCAGTTTGATAAGTCAGCGAAAATATTCAAAACATTCAAGTCATAAAATTGTTGTTGAAATTGGTAAAAATCAAGTAAAAAAACACAATTGACAATAATAACATTTTAAATTTGATTGATTTTGATAATTTGTAATAATAGTCTTTGGTTTGTTGACTAAAAGTGAAACATTTGTGTTATACATCGTTGAAGATGGACATAAATTAAAATTAAAAAAAGTGCAGTTTGTTTCTTTTTTATGTAATAACTTTTCACATTTTAACAAGATTTTCAGTCCTTGAGTAAATATATTGCATTATGTACATTACTGAATGGTAAATAATGTTGGGTCTTGAGAAAAAAAAGTCAGTGGTGAAAGCCATGTCAGATTTGTTCAAAGAAGAGCAAAATGGTGTTCAATTTTTACTACAACAAAAAATTATTTTTAATTTTCTAATTAAAATCCCTCATGAGCACTAAATAAATAAATGAAAAAAAAATTGTCAGAGAAAATATAGGACGTCTTTAATAGTAACCATTCTTAAAATTTAATAATTTAGTATTCAAGTTCTGAAATTCTAGGTTCAATTATATGATAATTTCAATATACTTTTAATAGGATTAAAATTTATTTAGGCTCTTAAGGACTAAGACCCTGGCTAAATATTTTAACAACTTTACCCTTAACATATGGGTGGTTCTCCAATTCTTAAAGTAAAGCAGTTTAATTTCTAAATTAGTTTATATATTTTGTTTTTCATTTAATATACTTAAGGAAATGCATTAAAAGGTGTTTTTTATTAAGAAAACTACACAATAGCATTTTTAGTACTTGAAACAAAATTTGTTAATCCTGAGATAATATATAAAAGTATGAAACGCCAAATTATTTTGTTACTTTTTGTCAAAAGCAGCCTCGTTTGCTGTATGAGTTTAATTTTGATATGTCACTTATTTTTTCTGTAGCAAACCTAATTTAGTTAAGGCAGGGCAGTGCTCATTGTGAGACTGATTCTAGGCAAAAATGTGATATTTATAGCAAAAATAATATAATATTTATCTTTTTTGTTTACTTTTTTAATCTATTTATTCTATAAGCAATTTTCTAAACAGGAAGAGTGGGAAGGAAGAGCAAACGATGGGGGATGTACACAAGTAAATAGTCAACATGTCCTTAGGTTCCAATGGCATTTAACGTGTGCTTTTAAAATCAGGAAGCTCTTGATTTTAATGGTGCATATTTTCAAAGCACCATCATAACAATAATAATAGTGAGTCGTGGAGCATTGTAATAAATATTCACATTAAATTTCTGGATCGAGGGGTATACTATGAACTAATAGTTGTTTTTACATTATGTATATACCTCTGGTTACTTTATGTACATCACATTAAATACAGGGCATTATTGCAAAGCAAGTGTGTGTTAAACTGTAAATCACAATTTTTATAAAAATCATTAACTGATTTCATTTGCACATTTTCATAATTATTATGAGTGGTATTTCAAATTATTTATAATTTTGACGTTTAAGACACCAAAATTGTTTACTTGTTAAATAGAAATTTAGATTTGCTTTTATTATTGAAATTAAGCTGGAAGCTCTATTAACGATTTTTTTTAAATTATACAAATGCATTTTTCGAGAATTTTTTAAACATTTTATTTAAATATTTGTTTTTAAATTGAACTTAATTTAAAAATATTTTGTTTAAAGTATTTACTGCCAAATATTTATACATATATAATATAGTATTTTTTTTAATCGCATTATAGCTAAATATCACTTATGACACCTTTTTCAAAAACTAAAATTTAAATATCATTAATGGGTTACATAAATATTTACAATATTAACACTTTCAATAGAAGAAGGCAAACTAGTGTTAATTATATAAAAATTTACAAGCATAAACAAGTTTTATATTTTTTTCTCTATCCATTCTGTATTTCATATGGCAGTTGAATGTAACATTTCATAAAATATATTACAATGAGCCAATAATGTGACACTTTCACCAGTTTATAATGAAGGTCAGTTTAGTGCCAGTTGATCGATAATACTTTTCAAAATCTTTAATATATAAATAGCTAGGGTAAATCACATTATTTAGCCATTACTCTACGCATCAACATTTTATCAATATATTGATTAACTTTTAAATGTCAACAAGACGATTAAATTTTTTTTTCAAATTCGAACGATTAAATGGTTTAATCAAGTTTATAAATATTTAAAATAATTTATCTAGCATATAAACATTTTCATTTAATTATAATAAAACAGTACACATAAGGTAAAACATTAAAAAATAAAATATATATTAAAAAAATAAATTAAATTAAAATTTTATGTTAGTTAAGTACATTTTTTCATTGCATCACCATTAAGAGGAAATGAATAAATACGTGACAATCAGAGTGAGTTAAATAAAACAAAAAACGGGACGAACAAACTTAGGTTTTTACATGGCACAATTTGTGGTTATTTTTTACGAAATACATTCAATAATGCATTCAGTCCCTCTTTGGTCCGCTGAATGGTTGAGAGCTCCTCTCTGATGCCCTTACCCATAGGTCTGTAGGTCGAAGGTTGAAGTGAAGGTGGTACAAATGGATTGAGCGGGTCTCTGATTCTACTTAAGTCAGATTCTAGTTGGGCAATATGTCCTTTGAGTTTGTTGTATTCTTTCAAATCAAGGCCGATTTTATTCGCACGCCTGTGTACTGCGATCAAATGCTGCCTGTCTTTTACATCAGGTAATTGATACTCCTGGAAGAAAACATTTGTACAGCTGTTTTAGTGCAGAAAATATTTTAGAATAAAAAAATAAATCAAATTAAGCAATATTTTAATTATGTCCCAACCTGCAGACCTGACCACCATGATCTGCGGTCTTAGATTAAAAAATGCAATAAATTGGCCATGCAAGGTTAACACGTGAACACTTACTGCTGGGCCAAAGCTTGCGTATTGTCCAGTATTTAGAGAAAAGTTGTTCATTGTATCCTACATAATTGAAGCGTGTCATTCCTTGGATACATATAGAGATCATTTAGGCAGGCATGCCACCCAATTACGCTTGACAACGGCGAATTTGTGTCCCTTTCCAATTTCTAAGAACTGTACTGTTTAAAGTACTTGATAGATATCTCGTTTTGCGTTTATTTGTTGTGTGTGGGGGTTTGTAACAGCAGAGGTCATATCGACCACTGGGGTGCAACCAGGATGCATGGCCACGGAACCGCAGTAGACGAGTGGTAAAGCATCCAATTCTCAGCTCGTAGATCCCACGGTCGTGGGTTCGATTCTCAGCTCGTCTCGGCTTTATTTCTGATGCACCGGTGGCCGCAATGAAAAATGTCATTACACGGCACACATCAATGGAAGGTCCGGAAGTAGGATCGAATCTCAGCGACCCTGAATTTGATCCCGACCTCCTATGGAAATGAGTTTGTTCGATGTAAGAACGTCGGGACACCGAGTGTGCAAATTCAAACACGTGTTGCGAGCCCCCTAAAATGAAGCCTGGAAGAAGTACAATAAGCTGTGTAAGATCTGCAGTGAGGGAACTCCTGGTATCCACGAAGTGGAAAAAATACAGAGCCACTGGATTCGAACCCGGGACCTTTACAGTGATGAGTCGCTGTGCCAACACCTTAACTGTCGCAGCCACCAACGCCCCTATTGAATGTATTTATTAAGTACACTGGATGGCAGTATATTGAGTACAACATCAGCCCTCAATTATGTTAGCTATACAGTCGGCTCTAGATAATATGAAACTTTAAGCGACCAGAAAAATAATTCGAATTATCAAGAGGAAAGAAAAACTCAAATATTAAGATGTGATATATATAATATAATATATATATATATAAAACATCGTATAGAAATGAAAAGTGGAAATAGATCAACTGTAAAATTGAACATTGCTTTACATTATTTAAAAATGTGTGGTATTTAGTGATCGTTAATTAATGATTATTACTTAGAGATCGAGAGATGTGGTCTGGTGTGATGTTGGTTTTCAATCATTTTCTTTATCGTTCCAAAACAAACACTTTGAGCCCTGAAGATGATCGCAATAAAGATCGAACGTTGGCACGATAAAGAAAATGTTTTTCTAAACCTACATCCCACCAGACCGCATCTCACGATCTTGAACTAATCATTATTAAAAAAAATCATTAAGTGTTGTTTCTATGTGGCCTGGCCTTCTTTGCTTAAATGATTTTCCAGATTGATCAGTGTTGAGAATACATTGACCGCCAGAAAAAATTCTAAGAAACATTAGGCTGCAAGGAAGTAAATTATGCGTGGAAATTTAGAGGGACATGAAAAGGAAGTTCGAATTATAAAGAGGGGAGGGAAGTGGCTCCATTTCGATTTACAGAATCCTATATATATANTATATATATATATATCTCCCCTTATTTCGAAAAATATTTCGTATTACCACATGTACAACAGAATTTTTTCGATTTACAAAATGACCTGTTTAGGAATTGTTATCAATAAATTGGAATTATCAAGTTTCGATTAACAAAACCCGACTATAAAGGATGATGGAGGATTATCGAATACTCTACCGTCCTATTTGAGTGAATGGTATGTAAATTGTAAAAAACGTATTTAGGAATGAGTGGGAGTGGGTCTAGGTTTACAAACTGCAATCATTGGGGACTGAGATGATCCAGTTGTAGATAGCCTCTGGATATTAACTTTGGTGGCGGGATGGATAAAACTGACATCCGACCAGGGACTGCCAAATCTGAAGTAGGTGAATCACACGGCTTGGCCCAAGAAGTCGTACGTTCGATTAAGTACACATGAATACACATACGTGTACGAATTGGGCTTATCAATTATCAGTAAACAATAATCAACATTATTTGATTTGATATAATCCGAACAAATCGATATACTAATATATATTTATTTAAATTTACCGTAAACTTGGAAAATGTGATTTATACAAAAATATTTATTAACGGCAGTATAATTAAAAATTTTTACCTGCTTTGTCAGTACAAAATATGCGTAACAGGCCATTGCAGTACCATAGGTAACAAAATAGGTAACAGGCTCCATGATATCCCACGAATATTCCCACCAAGTCAGCCTTGCCAAAATACCAAATTGTACGGACATTAGACCAAGGCCGAACCATGTCAGAGTATTTGTTCTCCTTTTTGCCATTGCATCTAACTCTTGCTTCTTCTGTAAAGCGTATTTTATTTTAAAGCAATTGTTTATTTGAAATGTTGTATTTGAAAATAAAGATGAATATTCACTTTTTCCAAAGGTTCTAGTTGTGTTTTCAACTCTTCAAGGCACTGGACCATATCTTTTTCTTTCTTTATTAAGTGCTCACTCACATTGAGTGCAGAATACAACTGGTTCACAATGATTTTTATCTCAGACAATTTATCGAGATCATTCAGCTATTAAAAAGAAATATATACAAAAATAATGATATAGACAATTAAAATTCAAGACAATATGCATACATTTGGATTCTTCTCAGGGGCCTTGACATGAAACTGTGTCTCATTGATTAAAAGTTTAAAATCTTCTACTATTAAATCTTGTATGGAATTTGAAGATGCTATTCGAATATCACCTGCAAGTTAAACATATTTTCATATATTAGATTAATGTTTAAAAACAAAAATTTCGTAAGCAAGTTTTGGACACATTTTCAACTGTAATTACATGTAATAAAAAAAGACTGCAATACACATTATTTAATGAACATTTTTTGAAATTAAACCACATTTATGCACAATATAATTCGTAAAATCTATCTGAAACCTTTGATTTATATCATATTATTAATGATATGTTTGGTATAGAAAATCATTAACTAGCCTCATTGACCTTATCATTGAAAGAAATTATATTTTTAAGACTATGTAGTTTTAGTGGTTTTATCCAAAATGATCCCGCCAATAAAGCAACTAACAAACTTCAGCCTGAGCTGATTTTGTACAGAAAAAGGTGTTTTATTTTGTATGTACATATTTATTTTTTAGAACTATGTTGTATTTATTTTGTGTAATTCTATACAAAGAAAAGTTTATCATTTATTATTATTATTGCTACTAATGATATATAGAAAGAAGATAAATCGATTATATTACTAAGCTACTAAGTATATTTTATTGTTGTAGAGTTTTTTTGTAGTTAATGTCAAAATTAATTGATATAAAAAATACATTACTAAAAGTAGTTTAATTGGTTTTTCTACTTATTATTTATGAAGTTAGCTCATTTGCAATTATTTATGAGTAAAACCACTTTCAAATATTTTTATGCTCTAACGATTCCAAGAGATATACATTTTTCGGCATCTTAATAAAAAAAAAGGGTATCTCATCAAAATGACTGTGAATTGTGAAAGCGTATAATTGAAACAATTGATATCCTCTTAGGGAGATCATGGAAACTGAAATCATTAAGCGTGTTGTGATGAAAATTAGTACATTGTTTTAGCTATTTCCTACACAAGTACTTTTAAAGTTAATTGTGGCGAGCACAAATTATAAAACTGCTACATCATTTTACATCATTAAATTTTTATCCCATGTGCAAAAAAAATTATGTCAGTAAAATGCCACTTTTTGGAAAAACTGTTTTTGTAAAAATACACTCACTTGTTGTAGAAATGTGGCAATAACCAACTGCACTATCTTCTTTTTTGATCATATCGATCAAATCACCGACAGTATTTCCTATCGGCCTCAGGGTGAAAAGGCATTCCTTCTTGGTCGTTGGGAGAGGAACCCTGAGCTGCGGAAGACCCCTTTTGTACTCCATAATGAGATCTGAAAGACATTTAGAAAGCATTTAATGCAGGTAATAATATCTTGAGATGTACACGATTATGAGGAAAATCTTTAACACAAATAATAGCCTATCTTCCATGTATTCGTCGTACATGCTGAATATTTAACATTAACATTTTACAAAAGGTAATGGAAAACAAACAAAAATAGTTATTTTATTTAAAAAAGTCAATAGAAAAGATTTAGCCAACTATTAATTTACTAACTTATAAAACTAGACTTGTCCAGCTTCGTACTCTCATTTTCTACCATCGACATCATATATCATTTTACCATAAAACAGTTAATAATACAAGTCAAGAAATTTAAATATCCTTTAATCAGAATGTTATAGGGATTTTGTGGATGTGTTGGACAAGTTAAGGTAATAAATATCCTTTTCAACATTTTCATAGATTTTCAAAAGCCATTCAACGCCATTAAGAAAAAATTCATAATTCACACTTTAATCATGTATTGGGTTGTCCGGAAAATAATGCAGGATTTTAAGTTTTCATTAAAAAAAATCTATATAAAATATTCTGTTTACGTTTACAGGATTACTCATTTGTATGAATGTCAACACTTATTAATCCTCTTCCAAATGATATTGTTTGTTTACCTCTGTAGCATTCCGCTACTTGGAAATAATTCAGTCATCCTTATAATGTCAAAGCGAGAATTTCGTACGATTTTCTTTTACGAGTTTAAACTCGGCCGAAGCGGAGCCCAAACGGCTAGAAACATTAACCAAGTCTGGGGCGAGGGTTGTGTTAATGAGTGCACTGTGCAAAGGTGGTTTAAAAAATTTCGGGAGGGAGATTTCAGCCTTGAAGATGAAGAAGGTCGTGGAAGGCCTTCCTCTCTTAATGATGATGTTCTGCGATCAGTGGTGGGTGCAGAGCAACTCAAAGTCAGTAAAACGACCGTCGCTGACCACCTCAAGGCGATTGGAAAAGTGAAAAAACTCGAAAATTGGGTTCCACACTCATTAAACGATCGCCAAAAAAATCAGCGCTTTGATGTTTGTGCATCACTTCTTTGTCGAAACAAAAATGACCCATTTCTGGCCAGAATTGTTACATGTGACGAAAAGTGGATTCTCTACGATAACACTAGACGTTCTGGACAGTGGCTCGACAAAGGAGAAGCTCCAATACATTTTCCAAAGCCCCCAACTCATCAAAAAAAGGTAATGGTTACGGTATGGTGGGCTTCATTTGGTTTAATACACTACAGCTTCTTAAATCCTGGCGAAACCATCAATGCTGAATCATACTGTAACCAAATTAATACCATGCATCAGAAATTGGCAGTAATGAAGCCCTCTTTGGTCAATCGGAAAGGGCCCATTTTGTTGCATGACAACGCTCGACCACATGTGTCACGTGTAACGTCACAAAAATTATTGGAGCTTGGCTATGAAACTTTGCCTCACCCACCCTACTCTCCGGACCTCTCGCCTACTGACTACCATTTTTTTAGACACCTGGACCACTACTTAGAACACATAATATTCAAAAATCAAACGGAACTGGAAAATGCATTTATTGACTTTATCAATTCTAAAAATTCTGAATTCTACTCAGACGGAATTAATAAGTTACCAACACGTTGGGAGAAATGTATTGAGAGTATGGGAAATTATTTTGATTAAAGAACATTGCTTTAAAGTAACTAGTTTCTTTTTTTTTGTTTAATACCAAAATCCTGCATTATTTTCCGGACAACCCAATAGTTCAAGTGGAAAAAAATCACAAAATCTTTTGTCATCTAAATTTCATTCCAATGTCTTCGATTTGGGGTGTTTTGCCTACTATAATGGAATTTTCTTTTTTTGGTTTAAACCTTTTATGTATATAATCAACACGATCCTGCGTATTTTGTTCTTATCCGAAATAGAAATCAAAAACCGAATGGTATTTAATAACTTCGAAATTCATGCACAACAAAGGCAAAATACCAAAAGTGTACAAAAAAGAGGAAAGGCATATTTTCTCCTCTAGCATATTGCTGGAAATATATTACTTTTTATGAGACTAGGTTTAGGAATCGTTTAATTTTAAAATAATTGATTAAAAAATTTAAACTGAACGGTAAAATGTTTAATGACCCCTATTAAACCTCATTATTAATTTCATGTTAAATTTGCTCTCTGCTTTAAAATAAACTCTAATGCTTGGTGAAGGACAATTTTCGGCAAATTGGTAAAGTTTGATATACGGGTACCATACACAAGTTTAGAAGGGAGGGAGGGATGAAACGCTTTGCGAATGCAGACTTTGTTATCTAGAACAAAGGATATTCCCGCTGTATTATCACCTGCGATGAAAAATTGCTTTAACGATATCTACCTATGAGTGATGAAATAAATTTCGTGGATGTTTGCCCAAAAGGTTAATTTGATCGTATTTTTCGATAGGAATTCAGTTTAAATGTCGCAAACAAATTAGCTAGAGTCAGGCAAAAGACTAGAAAAGTGAGAAATGTTGTTGCGGCGTAGATAGGCCAGGATGACCAAAAATGAATAAAGTTTCACTCGTAGAAATCTCACAACCTTCCTGGAGAGTTCTTGCAGTATTCACCGAATCCAATATCCAGCGGCTAATTAACTACATTACAATTTTTTATGTTATCCGTTTTCAAATGGACTCGGAAAGTGGCTTCACTGCGGTGACCCAAGGAAGAAAGCAAGAAGCGTTCCGCTGGCAAGCTTCATCTAGCCTACTACTACTTAGCACCCCACACTGACCACCTATCAAGAGTTGAGTTTTCGATTCAACTCGCCTTTTTATCACACAACAGCCAAAACTGGCGTAAACCGTCTGTAGCGGATTCGAAAGGTTCTGGATAACTTGACGTTTTTTTCCTAAAGTTTATAGGGCGCGTTAGAACTATATGTCAGGTTTGAAATTTAAAAAAATACTTAAAATGAAGATGTTACTTAATCAAAATCACCTCTAAAGCTTTCAAAAAGAGTGCACGAGAAATTTACTGGGTTATTTTGTGGTCATGGTTTGTTGGGTTTTTACATAAAGAAATTGGCCTCATGGCAATCATAGTCACGACAAAAATATTGTTTAAAAGTAAGGGAATTAACCAAAATAAAACTACAAATTACAATAAAGCTACAAGAAAGATTAAATGCGTATTAATTAGTTAAACTTGTACTTGAGCAAAATTCGAGTTTCGTCAAAAATATTTGATATTTATTGATTAAAAAAATACTTCGAAAGCTTAATAGTTTTTTAAATTTCTAGGTCTTCTTTTTAAAATTTATTCGAGAGAAAAAAAATTCATGGATGCCTCGGAGATTCGGATTTTTCAAGAATACGTTTAAATCTAGTGAATTGTTGTTTATTTCTCAACAACTAACTTAAATTCGTAAAGAATGGGTGATTTCTGTTCTCTTTGACTATAATAAGTGCTACTTTTCTACTAAACTCTCACTTATAATGGCAAAATCAAAAACCTTGACGGCAAAGCCTGAAAGAAAAGAAATTAAGCTTACTAATGGTTGTAGTGATGTTAAATTTCGATAAAATTAATAAAAATCCATAAGATTTAAAAAATTTTATATGGAAAAACAGGATACCGGCGAAAATATTGCATCAGGATAATACAGTCTAAAATGCCTATTTTTTGTATTTTTTTAAAATTGCACATTTAATGGCCTTGAAGGGTGTTTAAAATGACTTAAATTTTTTACTAAATTATTTTTGGTATACTTTACTAGAATCGAATTTTCATTTTTCAATATTTTATTAATCTACATAAATCTTATTTTATCCGATCCTCATTTACTTATCGTATATCCTAAGTAATAAAAAAAACAAAAAACGAATCGACTGACTGAATGAATCTAATCTCATTTAATTCGAGCATATAAAAATTGACTGACTAGATAATCACCTCGAAAAACATGGACAACAAAGGCAGAAAAACAATATGTAAATTTCATTTTTAAAAAAAAATTTCGAGTCCAAGAGCCCATTGACAAGAACGCTCCGACACTAAGTCTGATATTTTACGACCTATTATAACTCAAAAAAAGTTTAATTAAAATCAATTATCCCAGCAATGGTACATGTCAAAAATTCGAAGAAATGACACCTTGCCTTGAAAAATTGCGAAAGGGGAACTTTTTCTCGATGTGGTAAGAGGAAGAGCCAATCGAGGACTACGATTCCTTAGGCAAATATCAAGAAAACCCTTTTGCCGGACTGTCTGCATATGAGGCCAGGACACGCCTTGCAAAAATTTTACTTATAAAAATTCACTATATTTAGATGTGTCAAAATGTAGTAGAGAAATAATATATTTGAGAAAATTGCAAGGCTTGTCCGAAATTTTTTACCCGTACTAGTTGAACGTAAGTGAGGAAAATTTCTTCAGATAAAAATACGAGTGTGTGGTAAGAGAACTTAATATTCTAATAAGGAAAGGTCGTCACCACTAACATTTGTGAAGTAGAAATGAGCTTAGTTGGAACGAAAAAGGCTATCTATGGCCGCCTCTGGGCTTTTCCACAACAAAAACAACACAACATAATAAATATCACATTTTTGGGATTTGGAAAAAATCAGAGACGTTTGGAAGACGAAAATTTTGAAGAAAATTTGTAAATGTATTTATTTTGTATTTATTGTTATTTAAATTATTCGTATTTCAATCTTATTTATGCGCTTTAAAGGGTGTTTAAAACGTATCCGAATAGCTTTTTGATTTTTCAAAAAAATTTCTCTCCTACTTGCTGGAAGTCTTGTTTATTTATGCAACTTTTTATACCTCTGACTAATCTCATTTCATACAATCTTACATATGTTATAAAAATCCTTGTTTAAAAAAATTAATCGAATAATATATAATAACTTTGAAAAACCTGCAACAAAGACAGAAAAACCAAATTTAAAAAAACATATAAATTACACGAACATATTTTTCACAGCTCCTAGGGCCCATTGGCAAGAACATTTTTACAGGAGACTAATATGTTTCCA